TAAAACAGATATTTTATTCGCCTTGGTATATGTAGACGATATAGTGATCACTGGTAACAATGGCCAACATCTACAAGAGTTTATAGATAAGCTGAATATCAGCTTTGCACTTAAAGACTTGGGTAATTTGAAACAATTTCTGGGAGTTGAAGTAAGAAGGGATGATACTGGCTTATACCTCAGGCAAACCAGATATGCTATGGACTTACTAAAGAGACTTGGCTACGAGCATCTCAAACCTAGTCCAACCCCCATGGCCACAGGCAAACCAATCTCAAAGGATGAAGGTAAAGCAATGAAGGACCCTACTCTATACAGGAGTGCTCTAGGCGGTCTGCAATACTTAGTCCATACAAGACCTGATATAACCTATGCTGTCAACAGACTTAGCCAATATCTTCAGCAACCAACTGACACTCACTGGAAGGCACTTAAGAGAATTTTTAGATATATAAAAGGGACTCTAACCTATGGACTAGCAATTCAAAGGAACGATAGCCTTGAAATTACTGCTTTTGCTGATTCTGATTGGGCATCAAATCCAGATGATAGACGTTCTACAGCTGGGTATTGCGTATATATTGGTGACAATTTGGTGTCATGGTGCTCCAAGAAGCAACATGTAGTGGCTAGATCTAGTACCGAAGCTGAATATAGAGCACTTGCCCATTGCACTGCAGAAGTAACCTGGATTCAATCTCTGCTGAAGGAACTGGGAATATCTCAGCAGCATGTTCCAATTATCTGGTGTGACAATCTAGGTGCAAGTGCACTTGCCTCAAATCCAGTATATCATGCTCGTACAAAGCATATTGAGCTGGATGCACATTTTGTGAGAGACAAGGTGCTCGACAACAAATTGAAGATACAATACATTCCATCTGCAGATCAGACAGCAGACCTTCTGACTAAACCCATGTCACATTCAAGATTCCAGTTGCTTAGAGACAAGCTTGGCGTGATAGAGCACACTCCACCTTGAGGGGGGGAGTTAGAATCCATTAGCAGCCACCTCTCGAGCTCCAGCAACAAAATCAGTGAGAATGCATGTCCTAGATTCTAGGAATGGAATCAAATCTTGTTAGCCAGCTGTACAATTAGTTAGAAAATTGTTAGCTCCATTCTAGAATATTCTTGATCGATTATATAAGGATGTAGTCTGTATTGTTAATTAAAGTAAGAAAGTTATCTTTAAACATTTCAATTCTTTCACTGTGTTGCATACCAAATATGTTTTGATAACTATTCTCGACTAAAATTGATCTGATATTGGATAATAATTAGCCATGAGAGGACTCCCATGGACGAGGCGGTGAGTAGAGGAAAGATGGATATAATCGATGCTGTGAACGAAGCAGCGGCTCAGGTTGAACTTTCTAGCACAAGGGTTTCCTGATATCTCAAGTTTGATAAAGAGGTTTAAACGAGTACGCACTCACAATTCGCCTCTCGTAGAAATGCACTGAGAATCCAGATGACTGCTCAATCTCATCAGGGATTTAGCGTCAGAAACTCATGTCCAGAGACAAGTTCGAAGTTTCAATTTCGCTTCTGTTACATGTAATTAGACATAGCTAGTCTGAAAATTTAATACAACAACTGACGATACATTCTACTATGTTTTCAAGTGTCAGTCTTATATTTTAATTGCAGATTTCTATTAAACTATAATTATTTAAATATTTGAATAAATCTCAGAATTCTGTTCAAACGACGTGAAATTCATCTGCGACACACAAGCTCTTGAGTTATTAATTAAAGAGCCTTCCAATTCATCTGCGACGTGAAATTATGTGCATACAATAGATACATTATTATGTATAATATAATTTTGGGCCGCTTAACATTTTTTCTTTTCAATTAGAATATATATAGAAAGCATTACTTTGGAAAAAAAATACCTTCTACATAACAATGCAACGCTCGTGGAAAATTAGTATCAATAAATACAAATTAGTAAGAGTTAATATTTTAATTCTCATTTGTGATATCAGGGTGACGTTAGTGTAACAAAGTGAGAAGTCGGCGAATGTTACACATGTCGCCTAGAAATAACTACGTAATATCTTTAAATACATTGACATGCGTAAGGTTTTTGTTACTCGAAAGAAACACAAAAAGTTTCATAATTTATTTTATAAAATTCAATTAGTGTCCGTAGTAATAAAGTAAAATAGAAAATTACCAAAAAAGTGAAAGTAATGCAAAATCGAGAATGTTTAACACTCACAATCGAGATAAAAGTCTCCGTAGCTATGAAAACATATGAAAATAAAGACCATGCTACACTCACCGAATTTTTTTTACCAAATCATTTACCTACTACTTACAATGGGGGTGGAAACCAAGTTGTCGGAATATTTAATTCACGCGGGCCCCGCATCATCATGTGAGAGGGGGTAACCCATTCGGTGCTACATATATATTAATCCTGAAAATAAAGCAAAAATCATTTTAGAATGTTCAAGTCATATTTGAGTTAAAAGTCTTTAATTGCAAATAATAATAATAATAATAAATAACATCCATATTTACCTCCCCAGTTAATATTAACACTATTATTTATTTTTATATAAATTAGAAATCATAAAAATAAAAAATTTGAGTGGGTTCGAAAAATTCAAGACACGATCCCTTTCCATTCGGATAGGGAAAATGAAAGACGGCATTTTGGTGCAGGTTTTATTCTTTTTCAATTCGGCCCAGCTCTTAATTTGGAATATTAAGGCCCGTGTGATCCCAACCCTCGAGTCTGTAAGAAGTGTTTTGCGCAGATCAGGTTGGATGGCAAGGGGGCCTGTATTTATGCTGGTTTTGAGGCAACAGCTTTTGGATGGCGAAGGAATTGTGCTAGTTTGGATTTTCCATCTGTTTTTTGTGCCTTGGACGACTTTGTGGTGGATTATGCTTTAGCATAGGAAGCATTTAAACTTTCTGAGGAGAGAATTGTGTTGGAGGTAACTTCTCATTATATTCGTTTCTTGCCACTTTGATGTTTAATGAATTGCATTTAAAAAAAAAAAAAATTTAACGGGAGCCACTAATTTGAATGCATTTAATTAAACTCATTGTTTTAATTAAAATATTAATTTAAAAAAATATTTTGAAACATAATTTTAATGATTAACTCTTTAAAATAAATAGCATCTTATATTTAAAAACTCTCTTGAAAATATTCTAAGAAGTTAATAAAAGATGTTTCCAAGCCTCTATTTGACCCTATTAAAACTATAATTCATTTTTCTCACTTTTTTTTATCAAGCACACATTCTCCAATAAAATAGTATTACACATAATCTCAAATTTTTTCTTCTTTTTTAATTACATATTTTTCCAAAAAAAAAAAACATTATTTCAACCATTAAAATTTCAAATAACGGGGTGGGCAATATATGGTGGCTATCAAAATTTTTTTTTTTTGAATAAATAGTACAATATAACAATTTTAATTTTTCCTTTAGCAATTTCAATTATCTCAATTACTTTCAAAAAACAGTAATTGTACTTACAAAACATTACGCATATCATTTATCTGATACATGAGACAGAACACACTTGCTTACTACTATTACGCCCATGTTTGAGTCATATTACTTTTTCATTCTCATTCTTTTATTCATTTTTAACCACACATTTTTCATCACATCAATAATTTTTCTTTCTTTTTCAATCACATATTCCCGTCACATAGAGAAAAGAATGCTTTTTGGGGGAATGAAGTAAAACAGTAAATTATCAGGGGAAAAAAAAAAAACTCGGCATGGGCAGTTAGCGCAGTATCAGTGTTTGGACAGCGTGTTAGGTGAATTTGTGACTTTTGAGTAGAAACAACACCTACTTGGTCATTGCCCACGAAATATATTATTGGATAAAAATAAAAAGAAAAGGAAACCTCAGATCAGATCCACGGTTTCGTATATAGAAACCCAAGTCCTTGTCAGATCTGCTCTGAATCTTCGTTCGAAGAGATCTAACTGTTTTTGTACCCAGATTTTGCTCCATTTACCGAGGTGAGTAATGGATTGTGCGTTTAATTGACCTACATTCTGAAGTAGATTCTCTGTTATTACTTTACGTTTTGAAAGGTGGAATTAATAGAACCCTGAAACGGGATTGCAGTAAAAAAAGGAAGAACGGTAATTTGTGATGGCTACAAGGAGACCTGGCTTAATTGCCCTTTTTGACGTTGATGGCACGCTTACAGCACCACGAAAGGTATTGAAGTTCTTTTTTTTAAAGTTTTTTTAATTTTTGTGTTTTTCGGGATTTCAATTTAGCTATTATTTAAGGTGCATTGCATTATTTCCTGGAATGCTGATATTCAATAATTGGTGTTCAACTTTTATGCAGTATATTTATTGGGTTTTAAGTAATTAAAAATGTGTTATCTTGTTATAGTGAAGTATACCTATGGTTATGTGTACAATTGTTCTTGTTGAATTCATGGCAGCTACTGCCTTTTATTTATATTATTCCAATCCTACATGTATCTAACAGTGAATTGGACGGCTCTAACTGAAGAGTGCATTGCAAGCATCATCGGAATTGGGTTCTTGCGCAATTCTCAAGTTTTGATCTCACTAACACGATATTACTAATTGATGGATGACGTTTGTTGTTATCCTTAACTCTCACGGATGATTGCTGTGTATATGACCCTATAATCTGCATATGTAGCATTATCAGTCTACCTGTCTATCCTTAATGTTTTCAACTTAATTGTGGCAGGCGGCTACTCCTAAGATGTTGGAATTCATGAGGGAACTCAGAAAGGTACCCTTACATATTCTATTTTTCTTTTTGTGGTCATACATGTTCTGGATGAAGAGTAATTTGACGAGGCTTACAAAAAAATAAGATGATTTAAGCTACAGCTTTTCCTTGGAAGGTTATCACAATTGGTGTTGTTGGAGGTTCTGACCTTGTTAAGATATCAGAGCAGCTTGGAACATCAGGTCAACTCCAACCTGATTCTAATTTCAAATGCTCGATTAATTTATTTAATGAATCTGTATCTTGTAACGATGAGTTTTATTATATATATAATTTGTTTTCTTAGTATGATGACCTATTTCCTATATTTTTTGGTGTTACGGGTGTTATTTGTTTGTTGAGGCACCTATATCCTACTTGTTTAAATACCATGGGTATTCTATAAATCACTCCGACCTTAAAAAGAAATAAGAAAAGAACCGATAGGGTGTGAGTGAGGACTACATTGAGCCCATTTAAAAGGTTGTATTATTTTGATACAAAATAAAGATGAATATATATTTTTTGAATTTGAGAAAACTCATTGACAAGTATAGAATATGTTTGGACAAATTCCTGTATAATCATGCTTTAAGCTATCTGTGTCTAACCTTTTTTATTGTACAATTTTTGTAATGGTTTCTTCTGTTACTTTACTCTTTGAAGAAGTTTTGAAGGATTTAAATTTTGCACTATGAGAGTTTTTAGATTAACATTACTGCTTCTGCAAGCTTAACTTTCTAAAAATATTATTTGTTCTTTGTATGTGCAGTCATTAATGATTATGACTATGTTATTGTTCTTTATATTGCAGTCATTAATGATTATGACTATGTGTTCGCTGAGAATGGCCTTGTGGCTTACAAAGATGGCAGTATAATTGGAACACAGGTATCATCTGAGACCCAGTTCAGTTTGTAAAATCATGAAACTAAGATACTGGAATATTTGTCTTGTCACTTCTTTTGGGGGAAAATTATTCTTGGCAATTGATATGTAACTGATAAGCTGAAGATTGAAGCTCCACAATGAGAGGAAGGGGGAAGACGTGAGTATAAGCCAAAAAAAGAAGAAAACATTTTATCTTTTCTCCCTTTGAATATGAAATGGTGAAGGAAAGGAAAAATGAATATTATGTTATGTTCTAAGGCCACAAACATGTTTCCGAAATTTAATTTGTTACATCTGTTTCTATGAAAGGTCACTCAATGCATTTTCTTATTTTACATAGAGCGTCTACTTTTAGCCTTAAAAAATGGTTTCTCGTGCATTTTTAGTGTACTGCATTGTACCTAAAATAGCCTTCGATTCTTGCCCTTATATTGAAATACTGTTTTTGCATTCCTACATTTCATAGTTTGACTGGTTTATCTGTCTTCATGCAGAGCTTAAAATCATTTCTTGGGGAAGAAAAGCTCAAGGTAAGAAGTTGAACCTTCGTTTGTCGATTCAAAAACTATTGATTTGGAATAATCCAACCTGCTTGCAATATCAGAATATTCTATAACTCCATAAGTGGTTGAATTCGTCGTACGGATGTTTGATGCGGAAAGATTCAATGTGATTATTAGAAATGTATATTGTGAAGGGATAAGTTATTTCATGACACGAAACATTTTTGTGATTGTTTGTCAAAACCAAACAGGGGGCTAAGTGTTTTAACAATTATCATGTAACGAATTATAAATGACGGTGCAGGAACTCATTAATTTTACGCTCCACTACATTGCTGACTTGGATATCCCAATTAAAAGGTGAGGAAAACAAGGAACTGAATAGCGATTCTTCATTTATGCTGGTTTCTTAGATACATTTTTTTCTCTTTTAGGGGAACATTTATTGAATTTCGAAGTGGGATGCTCAATGTATCACCAATTGGAAGAAACTGCAGTCAGGAAGAGCGAGATGAATTTGAGAAGTATGACAAGGTATCAAATCGTTGGGCACCGATGTGAAATGTCGGTTCATATTTTTCTTCTGATTTACTTACTCTACTAAAATAAATCTAAAATGTCTCCAGGTTCACAATATACGCCCAAAAATGGTGTCAATGCTCCGTGAAAAGTTTGCACACTTTAACCTAACTTTTTCCATTGGAGGTCAAATCAGTTTTGATGTGAGTAATTTTGTACTCTACTATTCTAACTTTTTTTTTAAAGATTGAAACAAATTAAATTTATTTAAATTCTATTTGGAAAACATTTGAGACAGGTTTTCCCTCAAGGCTGGGATAAAACATATTGCTTGAGATACCTTGGTGATTTTCGGGAAATCCACTTCTTTGGAGACAAGACATACAAGGTTCTTCGACTGATCAACAATGCTTGGAAACTTTCTTATAGCTCTCCAAAAAAATTGATTAATTATTCTCTTCTTTGGAACTTGCTCGATTCTGGGCCGACTAAATGATTCTTTTTCTTTTTTCTTTTTCCCTGAACAGGGAGGAAATGACTTTGAGATATACGATTCTGAGAGAACCGTGGGTCACACAGGTCAGCTTTATCTGTTTTTCCTATTAGTTAACAAAGATCAAATGGAAATGAATTTTTGAAGGCTGCTCTGGATGCATTTATAAATTTATGACCAAAATGCTGACATTGTGAATGTGTCGCCAGTAACGATAACTAGAGGTAGTTGTTTTACTTTTTTGACAAAGAAATTTGTGTAAACTAGGATTGTTTTTTGAAGGCTGCTCTGAATGCATTTATAAAGTTATGACCGAAATGCTGGCATTGTGAATGTGTCACCAGTAACAATAACTAGTAGCAGTTTTGATATTCTTTGACAAAGAAATTTGTATAAACTAGGATTGCTTTTTGCTGCAAGGAGGAAGAAATTTGTAGGTTAAATGTATATACTGAAAATGGAGATGCCTATGAACCTTAGGGAAACCATCATTTGTATTCAGCTGCTTTTATTATAATTTCTGAACAGTGTGATCTGATTCTTTTGTTTGTCATCAGTTACTAGCCCTGAGGATACGGTCAACCAGTGTTCTACTCTCTTCCTTAGCAAGCCAGATGGACAAGCCTGATCTTGTCGTGTATCGTTTCAGCATTCAATTGTATTTCATTGTAATTGTACACATCATCAATAAACCAGTAAAGACGGTCTAGTCCCTGGGCATAGTTCAAATAACATATGCACACGTCTTTCATACTACCTCCTCAACTGCTTCACTGAAATGACGTTCCGTATTGTGATAATAATTCAGGGTTTCAGATGTTTAAAGAAATATTTTTTGTTGGTATAATATTACTTTAGCAGCTTTTCTTAAGGATTACCTTTTTGTTGAGCAGATACTTTGTGATTAAGGGCGTGTTTGGTAGAAATTAAAATTGGATTAAAATTGAAAGACTAGCCGTTATTGTTGACTTTTATTAGACGAGTGGGACCCAATAACGGCCATATTTTCAATTTTAATTGGATTTTAATTGGAAACAAACAGGCTCTAACTTACAAATGTGAACGTGTAATACTTTTGTAATTTCTTTTACTTCATGAGAAAATTTGTTTGGAGACAAGCTATAAAATACTTGATCTATGTGACTTTACAAATTATGTGTTTATACATGCTTAACAATTACGTAATTTTTTCCTGTTTCACTCTGTTTTTCAAGTTTGAGATGAGTTGTTCGATGCTAACCTTTAAATTCAAGTATTTATATGTGAGTGATTTATGATTGTTTGTTTAGATATGCTTATTATGATGTTTAACTGAATTGTGTGGACTTTTATGTCCCAATGTGCTTTGTTCAAGTTTGAGATGACATTATTAGATGTTAAGCTTTAAGTTCTAATATTTATGTGAGAGATTGTTGTATTTGGAATTTTGTTTACTATATGTTAAAGTGGAGTCACATGCATAAGGCCTCAATGTTAAATTTTCTAAACAAAATGGTGTTTGTTACAGGCATAGAGTGATACGTGCTTCTAGATCTCATTTATGTGGTTGAATTAATTTGATTTTAAGATAATGCATAATTTAAGGAGTTAAGGTAGCCACTTTATATGTATAGGCCAATAAAAGTATGCAGGTCTAATTTAAGTTCTTCAATGGTATGGTTCACAAAGTTTCAAGTACACAGGAAAATAGCATGCAAGCGTTCGCCCATTTAAGCCACAATGTGCTTTAAGATATTTATATTGTGACATTAGAGTACATTTGATTGTCAATATTTTTCATAAAAAATGTATTTTTTTAATCTAATTTTCTACTTTTGTGCTGTTTGATTGACATTTTTTTCACGGAAGATATTTTCCTACTTTTGGTCAAGTGGCCATATTTTCTTTAGAAAGTGATGGATTTTATTTTTCAAGTAATTCACTCTCACTTTCTCTCTCTTTTTCGCATCTATCCACTCTTTCTTGTCTACACACCAACAAAAATCGAACAAGTAAAATATTTTCTACGTTGAAAACAAAAACAATCAAACACATTTAATTAATAATTTTCATACAAATAATTTATAGGCAATTGAATTATTTAGAATTTAATTTTTTTCCATGCAAATTTTATGCTCGCAATGCGTTTGGCACAAGATTCTAAAATTAGCATGAATTGTACAACCATTTTTTTATGGGGAGGGCCCAAATCAAGATTGAAAAAAAAAAGGGGCATGCATCATATGCATTAGTTTTAGTTCATTATAGATACTAGTTTTCTTTATGATGATTTGCATGCAACCTATTTATGATAACGTTCATGATATTTACAAGACTTTCTTTGTGATTATTTGCATGCATCTTTTTCATGATATTAGTTCAAGGCATGTACAAGTTTATTATTATAGTCTATGCATTTATTATGTGCTCTAGAGATTAGCACATGGTTGTTCATTTTTACATCATATTTGATTATTTATTATGCACATTGTTCTTTATGTATTAAACATCATTGTTCATAGTTGTTTCATGACTCGTGAAGGATTTGGAGTGAGGTGGAAGTGGTCTTTCGATGGACAAAAATATCATTTAGTCACCAAGATGAATGTTGTAAAGAGACATCTTGATTAAGTAGAGATGTCTATCTAAATTTTTTTGTAATATGTTGTTAATCAGGAACATTGCGTAGTTTTAACAAGTAAACGAAAACGAGATGTATCTTTTCATGTCTTCACCCCAAGTTTAGTTAAGACTTTTGTTTTAACTTTATTTCGTACTCATTTATTTTAAATAAAATCAAACACAAAGTCAAGGTGACGACTTGAGCTAATTTGAAAATATTGAGTTAATTGCTTTAATGGCTACTATATTTTACACATCGTCACAGTTTACCCACTGAATTTAACTATACTTTCCAATGGCCACTAAACTTAGGAGCTTGTTTGGGAAGGATTAAAATCCAATTAAAATTGAAAATATAGTCGTTATTGGGTCCTACTCGTCTAATAAAAGTCAACTCTAACGGTTATATTTTCAATTTTAATCTGATTTTAATCCCTCTCAAACAAGCTCTAGGTCCGTTTCACTAAAAGGTCTCCGGATAGAGTTCGTCTGTGATCGTGTACATATGGAGAACGAAAAGCTGACTTGATTGTTAAAAATGGCCATGTTAAGTGAATTGCACACGTGGATGACAATTCATCCAAACAAGCCCTTGCCCACACAAATTAAAATAAACACTTCCATATCACTTAACATTTGGCCATTTTTAACAGCCAAGTCAGTTTTTTGTCCTCTGTGTGTACACAATCACGAAAGGAATCCAGTCGTTGGCCATTATAGTAAAACTGACATAAGTTCAATGACCATTGGAAAGAATCGTTAAGTCCAGTGGATAAATTGTGATGATGTGTAAAGTGCAGTCGCCATTGAAACAGTTAATTCAAAGGTTTTCTTATTTTTCTTCATATTTAAACCAATAATTCTAAATTGCAATTTAAAAGAGGGATCTATGCAAATTGATTTGGACGTTTTGACTTTTGACTACAGAGAACGAATTACTCTATGTCGCGCGAAGCAGACTATCAGAACCCTGGATTTTTCGTCGCCGTGCACGTTGGCGCGGGATACCACTCGCCGTCGAATGAGAGAGCCCTCCGCAATGTCATGAAACGTGCCTGCCTCGCCGCTGCTTCCATTCTTCGAAAGGTCCTCTACCTCTCTATTGACACGCACAATTTTCTTGTTTCCAATGTTAAATGAAAAGAAAACAACTTTGTCCAGTCAAATTGTTAATATTAGTAATTATCTTATTAGCTGTAGCAATCCCGGTAAGTGATTTGCNTTAGTAATTATCTTATTAGCTGTAGCAATCCCGGTAAGTGATTTGCTTTTCTGTTGTGGTCTGTTGAGAACGCTGCTTTTGTGTATTACTGATTATTGAAGAAGAAGAAGGATAATTTTAATTGAGCAGAACATAGGCTTATATAGCCTTTACAGAGCAATAAAAAGATAAACAACCCACGTCTCAACAACTCCGAGAATCGTGAGAGAAGCCTAGAGAAAAGTTCAAAGTAAACAAAACGTGTCCTAAACAATAGGAATTATTCTAAAATGCAGTAACCACCTAATTAATCCTAGCTGACTAATTCAAAATCATTAATTATTTCAACATCCTCCCTTAAACTGAATGCTGCTAGCAATCAGTTTATATCTGACTCTGAACAAATTCCTAACGAACTTCGAAGTTTTACAAATGCATCCAACTTCAATGGCTTTGTCATTATGTCTGCAATTTGCTCCTGTGTGTGGCAATGCTTCATCTTCACAATTCCATCTTTTGTGAGTTCACGAAGAAAATGGAAACGAACATCAATATGTTTGCTGCGGCCATGCAGTACTGGATTCACAGAAAGCTTTATGGCTGAACTATTGTCACAAAAAACAGTGGTGGATTCACTCTGAATATGGCCCAGTTTTTCAAGAATTCTCCTTAACCATACAGTTTGACATACAAATGATGCTGCAGCAATGAATTCTGCCTCTGTGGTGGAAAGAGTGACTACTGGCTGTTTCTTTGAGGACCAAGACACAGCTCCTGAACTTAATAAAAATGCATAACCTGAAGTACTTTTTCTGTCCTCTAGATCCCCAGCATAGTCACTGTCTGTATATGCAATCAACTCTTCATTTCCTCCCTTCTGATAGAAAATCCCTTCCTTTTAAATACCTTAAGATCTTCTTTGCTGCTGCTAAATGGAGTTCAGTTGGTCTTTCCATATACCTACTAATGAGGCTTACTGAAAGCATCAAATCTGGTCGAGTGGCTGTTAAATACATGAGGCTGCCAACGATTTGCTTGTAGTAAGTGACATCCACTCTAGCTCCACCCTCATTCTTCTCAAGCTTAAATCCAGGAACAATTGGGTTTTGAACTGGATTGGAATTAATCATACCAAACCTTTCCAAAACTTCCAGTGCATACTTCCTTTGGTTAATAAAAATACCACGAATTTTTTGTGTCACTTCAATGCCAAGAAAGTATCTCATCCTTCCAAGATCAGTCATATCAAACTCTCATTTCATAGATTGTTTGAACTCATCTATCATGGACTTATCATTCCCAGTAAGAATAAGATCATCAACATAAAGACACACAATCAGGATTTTACCTCCTTCTTTAGTCTTGATGAACAAAGTGTGTTCATAGGGGCACTTCTCAAAACCTTCTTTCATGAAATAAGATTCAATACGACTATACCAAGCTCGTGGAGCTTGCTTAAGTCCATATAAAGCCTTTTTCAGTTTGTATACCTTTTCCTCATTACCTTTTCGTTCGTAGCCTCGAGGCTGTTCCACGAAAACCTCTTCATTTAATTCACCATGCAAGAAGGCTGACTTCACGTCTAGTTGATAAATTGTCCATGTTTTTTGAGCTGCAAGGGCAATTATCACACGAATTGTATCTAATCGAGCCACAGGTGCAAATACCTCAGTATAGTCCACCCCGTACTGTTGAGTATACCCCTTTGCTACAAGTCGTGCTTTGTATTTATCAACTTCTCCATTCTCATTGAATTTAGTTTTGTAAACCCATTTTAATCCTATCTTCTTTCCTCCAATAGGTAAGTCAGTTAAATCCCAAGTATCATTCCTTTCTATTGCTTCAATTTCCAAATCCATGGCTTTTCTCCATTTGTCACTCTTCACAGCATCATCATATGAAATAGGGTCACTAGCAGCAAACATGACCAAGTGAGCCATATCCTCTTCCAGAGAAGGGGCTTCTCCACTGATGTAGTCTTTCATCCAAGTAGGTGGCCTTCTTTCTCTTGTTCCAATTGGTAAGTCTTCATGTAATAATTCACCAGTTCGTTCCTCTGTTTCTAGTTCTGTATCTGTGTCTGTAGAATCCGTACCTGATTCATCCTCAATATCGCTTTCTCCCCACTCTAAATCAGCAATAATAGTTTCTTCATGCTTCCTTTCCCAGTTCCATATTTCATTCTCCTCGAAAACCACATCTCTGCTTATCAAGATCTTCTATGAAATTGGATCATATAATCTGTATGCCTTCGACTCCTCACTGACTCCAAGCAAAATACACTTCAAACTCTTGTCATCGAGTTTTGTTCTTCTAGCATCGGGAATATGAGCATGGCAAATGCATCCAAAAACTCTAAAATATTTCACTGATGGCTTAGTTCCACTCCAGGCTTCTTCTGGAGTTTTATTCCATACTGCAAGCGTCGGGCTTCGATTTAGAACATGGACGGTCCAATTAACTGCATCAGGCCAGAAAGTTTTTGGAATCTTCTTCTCCGAAAGCATGCTTCGAACCATATTCATGATGGTTCGATTTTTACGTTCTGCTACCCCATTTTGTTGTGGGGTGTATGCGGCCGTTAGTTGCCTTCGAATACCATTTACTTTACAGAATTCATTGAACTCATGTGATGTAAACTCTCCTCCACAATCTGTACGCAGGCTTTGTATATTTGAACATGTTTCCTTCTCAACTTGACTTTTGTAATTTCTGAATGTAATAAAGGCCTCAGATTTTTCCACTAAAAAATACACCCAAGTCTTGCGGCTGAAATCATCAATAAAAGTGATCATGTACCTTTTTTTGCTATTTGAGATAGGTGTGATAGGTCCACATATGTCTGCATGCACTAACTGAAGGATCTGAGAGGCTCTCCAGGTGCTCTTTTTTGGAAATGAATCTCTTTTCTGCTTCCCTACTAAACAATCTCGGCATATCTTAGATGAGAGTTGGAATGTTGGCAGCCCGTGTACCATCTTCTTATCTTGGAGAGTTTTTAGACCATTTAGACTTAAATGGCCATATCTACAATGCCAAAGACGGGAGAGATCTTCAATAGTTGAGTTTAAACAGATTGTTTCACTTGGCTGAGGATGGGAAACCAAAATGAACATTTTGTTTGACGTCATGGCGGTCTCCATGATCAAGCCTCTCTCAGGGTGATAAATTTTGCATTTCCCAGATTGAATAAGAATTGCAAGCCCCTTCTCTTGTAACTGACCTGCACTTAACAAGTTGTTCCTTAATTCTGGTACATAGAAAACCCCAATGATCACCTGCATGATTCCATTGACTTGCAATCTAACATTGCCCTTTCCCATGACTACCATGCTTGAATTATTCCCTAGCTTCACAGATTCTCTGAAGTTCGCATCAAAATCAGAGAAATACTCCTTTTGACCGCTCATGTGATTGCTACACCCCGAGTCAAGAAACCACGAAGCCTTTTGATCGGTTTCCTTAGTATTCAGGTAAGCCATTAGTAACAGCTCTTCGGTAGCCTCGGCATAGTTTGCATCATTCTCCACCTTAATAGGACATTCATATTGGAAATGACCAAGCTTATGACAGTTATAACATTCAATTGTAGACTTATCAAAGCTTTGTCTACCTCTTCCTCTTCCACTTCCTCTTCCTCTAAAGCCACCCCGTCCTCTTCCTCTCGACTGATAATCATAAGTGACTTTCAGTGCTTGTTCTTCTACCACGTGAGCATTTATGCGTTGCTCATGCACCAAAAGGCTACTTTGTAGTTCATCAATGGATAAAGTATCCACATCGTTGGACTCCTCGATAGAACACACCACATAGTCAAATTTTGAGGTCATGGATCTCAAAATTTTTTCAATGACAACAACATCTCCCATTTTTTCCCCATGAATCCTCATTTTGTTGGCTATGGTGACAGTTCGAGCAAAGTAGTCATTCACAGATTCACTAGACTTCATTTGAAGCACCTCAAATTCCCTTCGAAGAGCTTGTAGCTGTGCACGCTTGACTCTTGCAGTCCCTTGATATTTCTGCTTCAAGGAGTCCCAAATATCTTTGGCAGTATCCTTGTTCAAGATAGTCTCCAGTATTGTACGATCAATGGCTTGAAAGAGGTAATTTTTTGCCTTCAAGTCCTTCAATTTAAGATCTTCATTCGACTTTTTTTCTGCTTCAGTAATCACAACTCCTTCAGCAACTGCAGGGATTCCATTTTCCACCAATCCCCAATATTCTTTTGAACGTAAAAAGTTTTCCATGAGCATGCTCCAGTGGTCATAGTGCCCATCAAGCTTTGGAATTGCAGGTTGCACAAAACCATTTTCTGTTGCCATATCTACTACTTCACACACTGTCGAAGGCTGCTGCTCCTCGAGTGACTTTGATCAAGTTCTTTCAACCTGGCTGCTGCTTTTGTGTATTACTGATTATTGAAGAAGAAGAAGGATAATTTTAATTGAGCAGAACATAGGCTTATATAGCCTTTACAGAGCAATAAAAAGATAAACAACCCACGTCTCAACAAGTCCGAGAATCGTGAGAGAAGCCTAGAGAAAAGTTCAAAGTAAACAAAACGTGTCCTAAACAATAGGAATTATTCTAAAATGCAGTAACCACCTAATTAATCCTAGCTGACTAATTCAAAATCATTAATTATTTCAACATGATCTTGGTTCAGGGTTCAGGTGGATGTATAGACTCTGTTGCAGCGGCAATTCAAGTTTTGGAGGTAATTGTTTGTTTGTGAGTGTGTATGTATAAGTTCTGTGTAATTTTATTTTAATTGATTATGCATGGTTATTGAATTTGTATCTTTAAGGACAAATATTTTCTTACAGGATGATCCTTGCACGAATGCGGGGCGAGGATCAAATTTGACGGAGGATGGTCATGTAGAATGTGATGCAAGTGTAATGGATGGTGACTCTGGAGCATTTGGCGCTGTTGGAGCAGTGAGAGGTAAAATTTATTTAATTGTGAAGTTAATGACTATATTTTAGCTTCTATTTTCATTTATTCTATGCATTTTTGTGAAGTTAATTGTTATCAGGGGTTAGAAATGCCATTCAGGTTGCTGCTTTGCTGGCCAAAGAACAGTTGTTTGGTTCACCACTGCTGGGTCGAATAACTCCAATGTATGGTGACTTTCCTGGTGTTTATTTACCTTTTTTTGTTGAAGCAATGTTATTGTATCAACTAGTTTTCTTCGTGTTAGTATGTGTTGTGCAATGTCTAGAGATGTGGTTATACTATACTTTGTTAACTAGGCAATCTTATCGGGGATGTTAGCCCTTGTAATATGTAAAGAGCTCCACAGACTACAGTGATCTGGTCTTCTAGAATTTACAAACCATCTGTTCTTTTTCTCGACGAGTTGTTTCTATATTGGTCTGTGTTAAAACTTTCAAGAATTACACCCATAAAACCTGCCTTTTGTAATGGTATAAACTACATAACTGGTAACGATATTTTTCATTGATACTCTTGACCAATCATTTGTCCCTCCGTCACTCAATATGAAAAAATTTGGACAGTTTTTACTTTGTTATTAATTTAATTTGTCTATTGCTACGTCACAATCATTTTTGAAATTTTTGTACCTGTTGGGGCGATTTTGCTTGCATGATTTTACTTAGCAACACTCTTTTAAAATGACAATTTTTTATCTCTCGAATATCCAACAAATTAAGGGCTAGTTTGAGCCCCATTTTTCCAAATATTCATTTTTTCAAAACTCATTTTCAACCACACATTCTCAAATAAAATAATTTTACATATATATCGAAAACTTTTCCTACTTTTTAACCACACATTCTCCAAAAAAATCACTATTCAATAATAGTTTTTTCCCAAAATGGAGCTCAAACAAGGGCTAATTCATTATAACACACTCTATTTTTTATTTATTTTTTTGGGGAAGTTTTATATTCAGTTTACTATCAGGTCAAAATTTTGATGTTTCTTGGTGAGAACTGATGCATTTTGTCGATTCTTCTATATATTATGTTTCCTGGTGGGTTTGTTAATTTTAAAGCATTTGCCGCTTAGGTTTTTGGTTGGAGAAGGGGCTCATGCATGGGCAAAGTCCAAGAATATAGTTTCAGATGAAAAGGTCGACGAGGTAGTTCCTTAGTCTCCTGCTGAAAATATTTGTTCAATAAATCCTTCTGCGTATAATTTATTGTTTTAAATCCTAAAATAAGCATCAAATGTAATTTCAAAGGCAGTTTAACTGTTGATTCTCATTTAAAGTTGGTTTTATCTTATTTTTTATGTACTTGGCAGTGGCTGGTGACCGAAAGGGCAAGGACTCAATGGGAAAGATATAAAGCAATGCTTGATGATGCCAAAATTATGACCAGCAATGCTAGAGTGGGGATCACTCATGACCCTCAAGGGAGTGTTGCAGTGTCAGGTAATAGTTCTTTTTTTTTTTTAGGTATTTGCTAGGATTTTCCCCATCTGAAGTGCTATAATTATTATGGTGTTTCTTCAATCACTGCTTTCAACTTGATATTTTAGTAGCTTGAAGGAAGCTTCCTTCTTGCTTTTTGTTGGTTAGAGTTTTGTCATCTAGCTTGGCCAAATTCTTGGATCGTTTTGACTCCATAGTTAATTTTGATGCTTTCATTGCCTTTTTGTCTTGTTTATTTACTCCAGGTCCTTGTGCAATGTTGAAAGCTAAAAGTGAACTTATCACTATTATATTCAGCAAATAGTGCAATGTATTTCTGCTTTGTGATTAAATTTCATTCTTTTTTGACAACTAGAGTTTCAACCGCAATTGTCTAAACTGAATCCACTGGAAGAGGACTTTATAGTAGACACAGTTGGAGCTATTTGTATAGATTCTGAAGGACAAATAGCATGCGGTGCATCAAGTGGTGGTATTGCCCTAAAGGTGATGATTATGCCAAATTTAACCATCTATTATGGTGTGCATTGACTCTGTTTCATGTTTCTATATTCTAAATTTGTGCACAAACCAGTAACATTTTCCTAACAATGGCTAGCAAATGAAATTTTCTAGTGATCTAGGTATTGAATTCTTAAATTGGCCATTGAATATGCTTTGTGGAGATAACTCTGGTCCATGAGTAAGAGGCTCATTGATAGTTGAATATTCATTATCAGATAAAAAGTTATCCAAAGACAAAGTTAAATTCGAGCACCCTTTCATGAATCTGTTAGCTGAGTATAGCAGGCAAGGTTGGCAGAAGATAAAATGTAAAATTTTGCTGATAAGCCGAGAAATTACTTCATTAGTTGCCTACGGGTCTGTGGTTTTCTCAGTGCTTATGTTTTACAAGTAAATGTAACCCGTTGAGAATATGTAATTTGTTGAGTTCCTGCAATTGGTTCAATACGTGGAGAAACTTCAACCCCAAAAGGTGCTTGCGACTTTGAATGGCAGTTAAGACCAGGGTTAATTTGTAGTTTAGCTTATTGTAGAACTCGAGAGTTTAAAGAATATAGTCTGACTTTTGTTTTGGGCTGCACTGATAGGATACATCTCTTCTGCGTATTAAAATGGAGAAAAGAATAAAAAACTAATTGGCATAGGCAGTACTAAATGGCTGCAATGTCTCTAGCCCACAGGTAACCCATGCTTAAGTTTCAAATTTGATGCTAAATATCCTCTTATCTGTTCGCTTTATGTTGCTTTCAGTAACTGGAACATGTTCCTTGAAGTGTAATCATATAATGCTTCATATTTTATAGCGATGGATCTTCTTTCTCTAGTGCCCATAAATGTTTAGTTTTCTTTTCCAGCTTGGTGTACATTAGTTATTTTTGCTCTTATAGCCAAATTGATTTGTCCTTCGATTCAAGCTCTTAGTTTCTTTTCCTGTGACGAACTCTAGTGAAGACACTGTAATTTTAATCAGATTCTGTTTTCTTCTTTTTGACTTGGAATACTGCTTACGGTTGAAGAGCAATTTGCATGTCAAGATGATTTAAGATCGTGGATTAGTAAATGTACATTTGAAACAAACCGTAACTATTCTTACAGGTAAGTGGACGTGTCGGATTAGCCGCGATGTATGGTTCTGGTTGTTGGGCATCCTCAAAAGGGCCCTTTGGAGCTCCTTTTATCGTTGGTTGTTGCGTAAGTGGTGCTGGAGAGTACCTAATGAAAGGATTTGCAGCTCGTGAATGCTGTGTATCATCATCATTGTACGTCCCTGCAATTGAGTCATTACGAGCAGTTATTTCTATCCTTAAGAAAGCTATTCAGCATTTGACATTTGTTGATTTTTGTGGACTTGTGTGGAAATTGCAGTCCTCAAGAACCTGGAAACCTTAACTATTAGATATATCGTGCATTTACACGCGATATGAACCTTGATATATATCTTTGTTACAGGTCTCAGGCTGGTCCAGCCTCAGCTTGTACAAAGGTTTTGCACTCTGTTCGTGAAAATGACCAATTTAACACTGATAGAAGTGCTGGAACTTTACTAGTGCAAGCTGAAGCCCCTGAAAGGGTGTGGTACCGACCTAAAAGTATTAGATATCCAATTCTCTCTCTTTCTAGAACTTTTCAATTGACACTGTCCTTGGTTGCATAGGTTCCTGGTACTTCAGCTAAGCTAGAAGCTGTTGAGATTGCAGCTGTCTATACTTCCCCATCTTTCGGAATAGGTTATTTTGGAAGCTCTATGGGGCGGCCGAAGGTATCACATCTGTTTACTATAAAGAAAATAAGATGATGGATGTTATTTTTTCAGACTGATGAAACTGGGTGAGGACTTGGATTGGTTGTCTCCTAGAAATTTTCCTGTCATTTTCGTTTAAGAAATGCTTGTATGCAAGAAATTAAAGTTCACGGCAGACTTCAACAAGTAATATGATATGGGTTGGACTTTGGAGAGAGTTTGATATTAGCAGAACCCTTGTGGGATGAGGTTAGGGTTGTTGATGCCTCTCTCTGTTTTTATTTACTTTTTTGCCTGGGGTGGGGGAATGTGCTTACAGTAAAACAATTCAAAGTACAGAAGTATAATTTTCCCTAGATTTCGATATTATGGTTTATTCATAATTTTATGGGTAAAAACGCATGATCTGTACTACCTTGTTGATAACTAAGTGACCTCTTTCTAATGTCCATGAAACTGAAGCCAAAATACATTATGTTATTTGCATTTATTTCTTTTATTTTTATTACATGAACAAAATTTGTATTTATTTCACAGGCGTCTATTCTACGGAGTACAAGACTACAAAAACAAACTGGAGCTGATCAGTTTGCAGAACGAATCAATCTTGTGGCTTAGAGTTTCAAGATTACAAAAACGAACGGGAGCTGATCAGTTTGCTGCACCAATTAATCTCGTAGCTTAGAGAAGTGGCTTTCATTAGAAACAGATTAATGCAGTTTTCAGAAATGCCTCTAGCTTTTGGTTTTTGCTGGCGGATGAACTTATCATTCTTCTGGACTCTGGCTGTTTACAGTTTTTCAAGTATCCCACTCCACACTCGTAGAAAAACCTTAATCCTATGGGATTGAGATTAAAAATATGCTATCTAAGAGATTATATAATTTGTACGTCTGGGAAGTTTTTCTTGCTTGCCCAAAGAAGCAAAAGAAAATGATTGTGCAGTGGTGATTATTTGATCGAAATTTGAACTGTTAGCGTATTTACATATCAATGATCCCAACATTGAGATGTCATTTCAATTCCAAAGACAACTTGTAACGCCCCGAGTTTCGTGAACTCGGATTGTCACGTCATCTTCATTTGTAACTAAATTAACTAAAAAAGTTTGTGGAAAATAACTAAATTTTAAAATATCACATTTATAACGGTAAAATCTCGTCAGCAACAAAACTCATTTGATTAACTTAAGAAATTTGATTAAACTTTAAATCTTGAGTTTTTGAAATAACTGAAATGATTAAGTACGTTAATAATTGTTCAAATACGAAAATTTCAAATGTAAATAACTTCGTCCATTAAATCATTGCCACCACTGCTCATCAAACCCGACCGTCTCCGAAATTTGTAAATGTTGTTAAAATAACGTAATGAGTATTTCGAAAAAATATTCAGTAGACTCATTTCTCTCTCTGGTTCAAAATGGGGGGGGAGGGGAGCTCTCAACGGCTCCATCCCAACCGTCGACGAAGCGGCGTCAGCGCCACCGTTGTGTGGTGGCGCTGGTGTGAGGGTGGGTGGCTGGAAGGGGTTTTGGTGTATGGGTCGAAGGTTAATCGAAGTTGGAGGGTTCGAGTTCACGGGTTTCTTGGCGGCAATCCATCTCAAAAATAGGTCAGAGGATGAGGTAAGTTATGGGTCTTGTATTTCTTGGTATTAATGGCTATTTTGTGTTGATTTTCGAGGTGTAGGTGTGGCGGTTTTGGTGTCGGTTTTGGGTTGCAGCTGCAAGTTGTGCGTGTTCTTGCATTTGGTGGTTCGAATGGTTGTTGTCTGTGTGTGTTGGTCTCGTGAGTGCTGGTTTGGACCGAGGGTTGGATGGTTTGAAGTTGGGTTTTCAGTCGATGAAACTCGATGGGCTGCAGTGTCGAGTTGTGTGAAGAACATCCTGGTGATGATGCTAGAAATTGATGTTCTAGCATCATTTGGAGTTTTCAAATCTTAAGGGATTGCTGTTGGTGCTAAAAATTGATTTTAGTATCCACAGGAGATTTCACATTGGACTGAAGGAAAACTTGAGGGAGGTGAAGTTTTTGCTTACTCCGTGGTTTTTCCTGGCTGCGTGAGATGTGAGGAGAGGGAGGAAATGAGAGTAAATAAAATAGTAAATTTTTAGGGCACAAATCCCTAGGAGCTTAAATGGGCCAAGAATTTGGGCAGTAAGAATTTTCATAATTGGGCCTAAGTGAAATTAGACCTAAACATCAAGACTTGAACTAATAGGGACTTTAACATGATAAGGGATTGGATACTTTAAAATTATTCGGGATAGGACTTGACTTGAATGGATTAAAATTGATTTTAGAAC